CTAGGCAGAGAGCCTGCTTCTCCCTCTCCCTCTGCTACTCCCCCTGCTTGTGTTCCCTCTCTCGCTGTGTCTCTGTCAAATGAATAAATAAAATCTTTAAAAAAAAAAAATACGCTTTTGTTTTCTCCTGGTAATAGGTTCACGTAGAACATACAGGAACCCCCAAAAAGTACAACGAAGACAACACAGGCAGTGCCTTTTTCATAGCGGTGGAGACAGCTGCAGTGTGAAACTCCTCGCGGGTCAGCCAGCGAGCGCCAGGCGGCGCGACGGTCACCGGGGTCTGCCCTTCCAGGGCCAGACCGTATACTTGATAGGTCAGCTTGATGTGAGAGAAAGTGTGGACCACCTGGAGGGAGGGCCAAGGGGCTGAAACAGGCCCAGGGATGTGCCCACAAAAGCCACACCCCTGCCCCGCCCGCGGCTCACGCACCTGCCCGAGGTGCCGGAGGCGGGGCGCTGGGAGGGGCCCAGCCCAGCTCTGCAGCTCCCGCAGCAGGGCCTCGCGCTCCCGTGGCCCCGAGGGCTCTGCGGTCACAGCTGGGAACTGCCACAGTCCTGCCAGCAGCCCTGAGAGAGAGGACAGCCAGGTGTGGCCAGGCCTGAGCCGCCGACCTCTCCGCTTCCCCCTCGTTGCTCCTGCCACCGCCCTCCGCTCCGACGATCTAGGTACCTGAACTGGGCCTCTGCACCAGCAGGACCCGAGGACCCCCGAGGGCCCCGGGCTGCTCCAGAACACAGGTGGCAGAGCACTCCTCCCTGGGGGGCCTGCGGCCGGCCTTTCTGGGGAAGTTGGTCACTCCCCGGGTCGGGTCCCAGGGCTCCGTGGGAGGCGCGCACAGCCTGCAGGGCCCCGCGCGGGGAGCTGGGAAGAGAGATCCCGCAGCGCCGCTCAGGCCCAGGCAGCAGGCCGTGGCCCAGCTCTGCAGGGTCTTACTCAGCGTAGGATAAAGTGCCGGGCGGCGCGCTGCGGGGCTGGGGCTGGCGCTCACCACACTCCTCCACGTCGGGGCTGCCCGGCGGGGCCCGCGAGCCCAAGAGCCGTTCCCGCTCCACCTGAGGCGCGAGGCAGACGTCAGGCGCCAGAGGTCACCGTCTAGGACCCCTGCCTGCCCCTTCCGCAGACGGCTCACCCTCTGCTGTGCCCAGCACAGGCTCTGCACAGGGCACTGGCTGCAGCGCGGGTGCTGCGGGGTGCACACTGTGGCCCCCAGCTCCATGGCCGCTTGGTTCCAGTCCCCGGGCCGCGCCGGGTCCACCAGCTGCTGGGCTAAGCTCCTACAAGGGAATGTGGCTGTGAGCCAAAGACACTTTGGAGACCCCCTTGCCAGTCTCCCCAGGACCCCAAGACGCTACCAGAGAAGCTGGGAGACGAGGGCGCTCCTGGGATCCGCACCAATGGCTCGGACTCGGCACAGCACCCGCACTACATTCCCGTCTACCACACCGGTTGCCTGGCACAGAGGAATGCATGAGTCAGCCCGCTCCGGGAGGAAGGAGGGCAGGCACACACCGGGCGGGGGTGGGCTAAGGGCTCGCCTGTCCGAAGGCAATGGAAGCAATGGCTCCAGCTGTGTACCGCCCCACGCCAGGCAGGAGCTGCTGCAGGGTCTCTGCTGTCCGTGGCATGTGGCCCCCTAGCTCCTCTACCACCTGATTGGGGTGGGGGGAGGGGGGAGGCTCTAGGTTATGAGACACCTGAGGCCCTGGGGCTCACCCCCTTACCTGTCACCCCCCGTCACCCCCTTACCTTCCGGGCTCCCTCCTGCAGCCGCCGACCTCGAGAGTAGTAGCCCAGGCCCGCCCAGAGCTGGTTCACCTCCTGTGGGTGAGATCAGAGAGATCAGTGGTCAGTCCTCAGTTGTCCCCATTTCCCCCTACCCCTGGGCGACTCTTACCTCCAGGGAAGCACTGGCCAGGTCCTGTAGCGTTGGCCACTTCTATAGCTCGAAGGCAATCAAAAAGAAGTAAGATCAAGGTCAAGGGAGGTGGAGGAAGCCTTCTTTACCCCACCCCAAAGGCTAAACTCTCTCTGGGGTCTGGCTCATGACCCTCCCCTTCCTTCCCTGAAGTCACCTGCATCCATCGGGTGTAATAGTTGATCACCGTGGCAACCTGGGTCTGCTGCAGCATGACCTCTGAGACCCACACTGGGGGAGAGGGGTTGGCATGAGGGCACTCCGAGCTGCCCTGCTCCCAGCACACAGCCCCTAGACCCCAGACCAGTGGGCGTCCAGGCAAAGCAGCCCTGCTCCCAAGACATGCACTCACCAGCGTATGCCCGCCTGTCCAGATCCACCTCACCCTCTGCCTGCCAAAGCAATCCCAGGTAAGGAGTCAGTATGGAGACAGCTGGGCACCGACCTCCCACCCCACTGTCCCTGGCCCTCGCCTGCTTACCCGCCTTCTCCAGGGTAGGTCCCGCTTCTCTCGGTCGTACCAGCTCAGTAGGTTCTCCCGAAAGACTCTGACGTCAGCTGGGTCTCTGAAGAGATGGTACGGGGAGAGAGAGGCCTGCAACAACACCTCCTCCTGCCGCCCGGCCAAGCCTGCGGGGGCCGCAGGAAACTCAGGCTTCGTCCCTGCACAGGCTATGCACCAGGTACCCGGGGCACTGCAGCCTGGCTGCTCCCCCTGAGGGCGCCCCCACCCCCAACCCCTGGTTTAAGCTTTGGACCTGGAGTCAGACCAGAATTCTCTAGCTCTGTGTAACCTGAGCCAGATTTCTGGCCTTAACTTGGCCAGGGTGGTACCGCTACCTCCTTTGACTCTGGGTCACAATGAAAACCCAACAGTTTCAGCCAAGCATAATGTATACGTGTGCAGCGCTTTCCCATTTAGAAAACATTTTCAGGCTCACAGACTCATTCGATCCCATGAAAGCCACAGGAGGAAGGAAATGCACAGACAATCGCTCCATTTCATGGTAAGAAAGCAGCCACTCAGAGCAATTGTCCCAAAGTTGGGGGCAAAGTCAGAATGAGACCCTTAATTAGTCCCTTAAGGCCCTGACACATACCACGTTCCCTTCCCAGCCCGAATCTCCCTCCCTTTCATGGCCACTGAATCCAGCACCTTCATCTTTTGACTAGGACCGCGCTCCTCACCATTGGGGGTAGAAGGCTTGACCTGGCGGCCGCTGAGGACACGCTTCTCCCTTCCCTCCTGGCAAGGTGCCCGCTTCCTCTGACAACTCCTCACAGCTGTTCGTGGCTTCTTCATGATGGCCTAGAAGAGAAAGGCCCAAAGTAGTCAGTCACCATGAGGCTGAATCTTGGGGCCCCACAACGGATATAGATAGCCACGTCCTTCTCTACAACCCTCATTATAGAGAATCTAGCTTTCCTCACCCTCCAGATGCTCATGGGTTTGCCCCTGGCTGGCTGTGGCACTGAGGTATGACCAGTGGGGCTGAACTTCTGCAAGTGACTTCAGAGAGACCAACATTAGCATAATTTTGGAGACCCACAAAAGAAGAGGCCAGGGCTGGGCTGGATACACCTGTGTATCCTGGATGCTCACTGTGACTTTGTATGTGTGGACAGGGATTCATTACGTGTATCTAGAAGCACAGGGCAGGTAGGAAGTTTATTTGGTAGAGATGCAGCACATGAAACAGCCTTGAGCCGTCATGGAGTCCAAACCTCCATCCTACAGAAAGGAGAAACCAAGGATCAGAGATGGGAAAAGATTTGCCTGAGAGCAGATGGCAAGCTGGGGTGGTGGTGGGAGCGGATGTGCTATTTTTATTCCTAATCTTTTCTTGATCTGGTAAACCAAAGCTGGCTGCCCATTGGTAATGCAAAATATATCTAGTTGATCTTCACTGCTCCCTACTGTTCTCTTGGTGCCCTTTTCTCAAACAACTAAAACGTTAGTGAGGGCTTATTATATGCCAGGCTCTGAACTAAGTGTTATACCAATTTCTAATTCAAGTCTCCAGACAACTCAATTAGGTATCTGCTAGTATCACCTCCATTTTAGTTAGGAGGAAGTTGAGGCTTGCAGAGATGAAGCAACTTGTCCACCCAAACCCAAAAGGCCTGCCTCCAGAGACTGCACTCTTGTGCTGTGCTACACCACAGTCCCTGCTGAGCCCCTGGTTCAACCTCTTTCCTTAAAACCTGACTTCATCACCTCATTTGCATCAAAAGAGCTTGTTTCCTCCTTCAGAGAAAAAAAGTGAATGCACAAGTTTACTGCACTCTGCACTTATCTGCATTCTCCTTCTCCTTCCCCTTGTGATATAGAACAATGGTCTCTCCCAAATTGGCTGAGCTCAAGTTCCTGCTCCTTAATCCCTTTTACACAACCCACTCTCCTTCCCTTCATAGCCAACCCTCTTTGACCAAACTCCCTAACTCCATAATTCACTCTACCATCTATTCTCCAAAGAGTAAAGCAGTCTTTTAAAACATGATCATGTTATTTTCTTACTTAAAACCTTCAGTGGCTTCCTACTAATTCACTAAATATTTATGTAGTGCCTATGTGCCAAGCAGTTTCAAGTACATGGAATACTTCAGTAAATAAAATACCAAAGGTTCAGAACTAATGATGTAATGTATGGGGATTAACATAAGAATAAAAAAAATAAAATAAAATAAAAAAAAAAATACCAAAGGTTCCTGTCATCATGAAGCTTATATTCTAATGTGGGGGGGGGGCAAACAATAATAATTAAATTATATAGAATGTTAAGTGATAAACAGTAACATAAAGAGAAAAAGTAGAGTTGGTGAAGGGGATAAGAAGTGGTGATGGTAGAATGTTGTGATTTTATTGTTTTTTAAAGATTTTATTTATTTATTTATTTATTTGACAGAGAGAGAGAGAGAGCACAAGCAGGAGGAGCAGCAGCAGGAGAGGGAGAAGTAGGCTCCCCACTGCATAGAGAGCCCCTTGTGGGGCTTGATCCCAGGACCTTGGGATCATGATGTGAGCCGAAGGCAGACGCTTCACCAAATGAGCCACCTGGAATGTTGCAATTTTAAAGCACATGGTCAAGGTGGGCCTTATTAAAGTGATATTTGACCAATGATTTAAGGCAACTGAAGGAATTAGCCAAAGGCATCCTAAAAAGGAGCTAGTGCAATGGCCCTAAGGAAGGTGCCTGGTGTGTCTGCAGAATAATAAGGAAGCCAGTGTGGTTAGAATGCACCAAGAAAGGATGAGTAGTAGATGAGGTCAAAGAGGTAAAGAAGGTAGGGAGCATAAGGATCACTAAGTACCTTGTAAGCCACTGGAGGAATTTGGCTCTCACATCCATTGCTCTGAGAACCCAATCCTCTTAATATAATTTTGTAGGCTCCAAAGATCCCCACCTGCCTCATCCCCTCACTCACTATGCTCCAGCCTGTCTGTTGGCCTTGACATCTCACCCAATCCTTTTCTTGTACAGCTGTACAGTTTGTACAGCTCTTATCCTGTGCTTCACCTAACAGTTATTCATTCTTTCAGGTCTTGACTTAAATGTCCAAATCAGCCCCCCTCCCCCAGTCTCACCCTCTTGTGTAATTCTCCATTTTCCTCTTATACTAATTGTAATTTCACATTTATTTGTTTCTTTGATCAGTGTCCACTTCCCCGACTTGACTACAGAACTCCATGAGCAAGGACTGAGTCTTTTTTGTTGACTGTTGAGTCCCCAGAGCTGAGCACAGTGCCAGATAAGTTGCATACAACAAGCACTGTTAAGTTAATTAAAACCGGATGAGAGAAGAGATAGTAAGAGGTTTTCTTTCTTTAGAATGGGAGAAATCCAAACGATCCAGAATAATGATGAAAAGACTCATTGGACAGAGAAAGCTTGAAGACGAACTAGAAACAGTGAATAATCAAGGAGAAGGGGCTGAGACTCCTTGGTGGGTCGAGAGGATGGGAACCGGAGTCCCTGAAAAAGAACTGGCCTCCGGTAAGGGCATGTCTCTCACGGTATCAGAAGTCAAGAGCAATCACCCTCTAGGTCAACCACCCCTCCTGCCTGGATTATTGTAAAGGCTTCCCCGCCAGTCGGTGACTCTAACCCCTCTGGCAGCCTCTCTCGAGTCCCTCTCCCCGCCTTTTCACTTCCTGGAAGTGAGGTCTCCATCCTGCCTGTGAATGTGCCTATACCCAGAAGATCCTTCTTTCCCCTACACTGCCCTGTCTGTGCGTAACTCCTAGACGCGCTTCACGCTGGCCGGGGTAGCGTCACCTCCGCTGGGGACCCCCACCCCCACCCCGGGGCCGCGTGGATGAAGACCGCGTGAAGCGCCCGCCCACGTTCCCGCCCGCAGGACGCGGAGAAGGAATTACCTCTCGCTCGGTCTCCCGCGCCCGGCTCCCGACGCACTCCAGGGGGCGTGGCTCCGACCCGCACGGCGCCCGCCAATAGGTCCCCGCGCGCGCCCGGCCGCCTCCTCCGCGCTAGACCCGGGAGGTGTGAACGGAAGTCCGACCCGTCAGCGACTCGGCGACTCGGAGGGCGAGGCCCCGCCCCGTCCCCGATCGCCGGAGCCGCGCGGAGAGAAGAAGCGGAAGCCCGGCGAACACACCGACTACTCAGGCGAGGGGCCCGCCGTGTCATGGCCGCCGACAATGGCGATGGCGCAGCCTCAGCCCCAGCGGCCCCTGACGGTGAGTGGCTTCTCAGGGCTTCCCGCCTTAAAAGCCTGTGCGCTCCGGAGCGGGGGAAGGCCTCGGGCTCTCGGCTCTAGAAACTGATCTCAACGTTCAGAGGACTAGCTCATTCCTTCTGAACCAGCCACGAGGAGACTACAAATCCCGGTGGGCACCGCGGCTCGGGCGCAGAAGCCCGGCGTGTTGGGAGCAGTCGGGGCGGGTATAGGGGCGTGTCGGGAGGTGTAGTCTAGAGCTGGTGGTTCTTTTAAGTGGCGCGGGTCCGAAGGAAGTGGAACGTGTTGGGAGCTTGGGTGTGAGGAATTATTTATGAGGCCCTGGGGCGTGCTGGTTAGCTCCTGGGGCCCCGTGGGAACAGTACTATGGAGCTTTGGGGGTATTAAAAGAGTCGCATCTTCCCGCAGTGAGAAGGATTTCCTGCGGGATGTGGGAAGAAGGAACCTCACAGATCGTCTAGTCCAGCCTTCCTCCTCTAAAGTTTCTGATGCTGAGGGGAGAAGTAATTTTCCCAAAGTCTCACATAAACCACTGGAAGACGCCAGCTTTCTCTTCCCAAATTCAGGGCACTGTTCACTCCAAGCACTGTGCGTAGAGCACGTGTGATACAAAGGCTTGCAGGAGAGACATGCTATTTCTTGCCTTAATGGAAACTGCTCCCCAACATTCCACCCTCAGCCATGGCCTACCTTGGAATCTCTTCCCCTGGGCCTCTGCCTCAGCATTACCATCCATCGCTCTCCTTACCCTCAGGTGGTGTCAGCAAAAGCACAAAATCTGAGGAAGAGCTAGTAGTCCAGGTGCCCGTGGTGGATGTGCAGAGTGACAACTTCAAGGAGATGTGGCCGTCCCTCCTGCTGGCCATAAAGACCGCTAGCTTCGTAGCTGTGGACACGGTGAGGGCTGGGGGATGGGGAGGGCAGATAGTTATGAAAGGGCTGGTGCTGGGAACCTAACACAGAACTCCCTTTACACACTCCCAGGAACTGAGTGGGCTTGGGGACAGGAAGAGTTTGCTGAACCAGTAAGTATAAGCCCTGATCTTAGTGCCAGCCTTGGCAGGAGGGGCAGACCTCATCCCTGGAGTAGAAGTCACAGTCCTGGGTGGTTTGAGGGCTAACTCCCAGCCACAGCCACCCCCTAAACCCAACCCCAAGGTGCATCGAGGAACGTTACAAGTCCGTGTGTCATGCGGCCAGGACCCGTTCTGTTCTCTCCCTGGGCCTTGCCTGCTTCAAGCAGCAGCTAGACAAGGTAGGTACTGGTCTCCTTCCTATCTCTGGTCTGTGGCTGCGGGGAGGGGGGTTGAGATCCTGGAGAACATCGGGTGTAAGGTGTTTCTATCCCAAATCCCGAGGGAGCAGATTCTTTCTCTCTCAGGGTGAACACTCCTACCTGGCTCAGGTGTTCAATCTGACCCTGCTGTGCATGGAAGAGTATGTGATAGAACCAAAGTCTGTGCAGTTCTTGGTGCAGCATGGCTTCAACTTCAACCGGCAGTATGCTCAGGGTATCCCGTACCACAAGGGCAATGACAAGGTAGGTCTCCAGCCTTGAGACTGCCCCTTCTGTGACTTCATTTCTTCCTAACCGAGGCTGGGTGCAGGGGGAGGATCTGCTTCTTAGGGAGGATGGGAAATCACTAGGGATAGGGTTGGGGAAACCAGCCTGATCCACAGAAGACTAGCATTGGGAAGGCAGGGAGCGAGAGCTTTCCAGATAGGGGCACCGGCGGTAAGTGTCCTGCAAGAGAGGCTCACTACGGGACTGTCCTTCCCAATGATCCCTTTCTTTCCACCCAGGGCGATGAGAGTCAGAGCCAGTCAGTGAGGACCCTGTTCCTGGAACTAATCCGGGCCCGCCGGCCCCTGGTACTACACAATGGTCTTATAGACTTGGTGTTCCTGTACCAGAATTTCTATGCACACCTGCCCGAGAGTTTGGGAACCTTCACTGCTGACCTATGTGAAATGTTCCCAGCCGGCATTTATGACACCAAATATGCTGCTGAGTTTCATGTGCGCTTCGTGGCCTCCTACCTAGAATATGCTTTCCGGAAATGGTGAGCAACTGGTTAAGGCTTAGGGGTGGGGCCTGGTATAAGCCTGATTTCATTTACTTGAGGTATTTATTGAGTGCCTGCCATGTGCCAGGCACTGTGTTAAGTGCTGAGGACTCAGCAGTAAGCAGAACTGACAAAAAACCCTGTTCCCATGGAGTATATAAGCTATGGACCAACACCCTCGTCCGCTGTTTCAGCGAGCGGGAAAATGGGAAGCAGCAGGCAGCGGGCGGCCCGCACCTGACCCTGGAGTTCTGCAGCTATCCATCTAGCATGAGGGCCCATATTGACTACCGCTGCTGCATGCCCCCTGCAACCCACCGTCCTCATTCCACCAGCGTCTGTGACAACTTTTCGGTGAGAGCACCTGCCCATTTCTTGGGGGAGGGCAGGTTCCTGATGCCTGGAACCCCCTCTCTAAGCCTCTTTCCTACCTCTAGGCGTACGGTTGGTGTCCCCTGGGACCACAGTGTCCTCGGTCCCATGATATCGATCTTATCATTGACACCGATGAGGCTGTGGTGGAGGACAAGCGGCGACGGCGGCGACGTAGGGACAAACGGCGGAGGGCTTTGTTGGGCCTGCCTGGGAAACAGACCTCTGAGGAAAATGAGGATTGTCCTCCCTTGAAGCAGGTCTGCGGGGATGGCCTCCAGGCTGAAGAAGTTGAGCAGGAGGTGGCTAAGGATGAGACTAGGAGCCAGCCTGGCTTGGAGCAAGGTCACAAAAATGACTTGGAGCTGGGGCTTAAAGCAGCAGGGCCAGAAACAGCTGATATGGCTGCCTCAGAAGTGCCAGGGAATCAAGCCGGTCCTCACCCAGTGCCTGGGGATGGACTGCATCGGGCTGGTTTTGATGCCTTTATGACAGGCTACGTGATGGCCTATGTGGGTGTGAGCCAAGGACCCCAGCTCTGTAGCTCTGGGCCCTGGCTACCTGAATGCCACAACAAGGTATACCTGAGTGGCAAAGCTGTGCCCCTCACAGTGGCCAAGAGCCAGTTCTCCCGATCCTCCAAAGCCCACAACCAGAAGATGAAGCTGGCTTGGGGCAGCAGCTGACCCAACTTCCGCCTAGCACTCAAGGCCCAGGGAGAGGACTGAGAATGGAACAGAGGTGTCTGGGTCCCTCTAGCCTGTGAATGTCCTACTCCCACCTTCTACAGAATTGGGGGGTGGGGGTGGGGGCAGTCTTGGCCTGGACCTTCTCCTTTACCCTAAAGGCTGAGGAACAAGGGTACACATAAGGAGGCTGACCAGCACCTGTAACACAGACTTTATTTTTAAATCTGAAAGTGTCTGGGAAAAAGTATTACCAAAAAATCAACAGAAACAAGTTATGAAAATATTTGACCAGCTTCATCTTTGGTTATTTCTTATCGCGGCTCTGTAAGGACAGACTGTTCCCACAGCTCCAGCCATAGCAGGAAGGGAAGAAAATCAGTCCACGTATAAACCATTTAACCAACTGAGTGTATCACATGTTGACAAATACATAGAGCAGGCCCTGAGGCCTACAAAACCAGCCCCACTCCCAACCACAAGGTTGAAAGTTTTATGGGGCAGAACATTAAGACTCTTTCATAAATATGAAAATAGATTAATCAACTGGAAAAGATTTTTGAATAGGTTAGCTAAGAGCCATGACCACCACGCTGCCTCACCATCCCCTTGCATAGAAATGTAGTGATGTGGTCTGACCATGCAGTAAGTGCAAACAGCAATTATTCAAGTGTCTTAGACATCCTGGCAAGAAGCTCCCCGGTCTTAAGGTCTGAGAAATAGCCATGCCTTTTATGGCTTCCTGGTTAGCTCCAGGTTCCATCCAGTAGCTTATATGACCCAGGAAAGGGCGAAAGATAGACCTGGGGTGGGAGAAGAACCTGGGGTATTAGCTGCCTGCCAGCTCAAACTAGAACTAGGAGTCCTCTGGTCCTGTCTGGGGAAATGCACTGGGAGCCGGATGGGAGCCAGAGCTCCTTGCTGGATTTCAGAAGCTTCGTATCAGCTGTTGGCCCTAACTAGGAAGGGCTTTCATTGCTGCCTCCCCTCTCATACACAGCCATTGGGCACTTGGAGCCCCCAGACTGACCCTGGCTTGGCCTGGCCTGCCTGCTCTACAGGCCGCAGGGAAGAGTCAAGGCTGTGCACCAAGGGGGCCCTGTGGATTCAAAGGAAGGTCCACCCCCAAGGTGAGCTGGGGACTAACCCCTCTCACCCATCCTGTTTTCCCTGGGTTTTCAGGCCTATGCCTGAGACAGAGAAAGGGACTGGAGCCAAGCCTCTTGGCCTTTCTTCTTCTACCTCCATTTCCTCAGAGGCACCTGCAAGGCATGGACTGGCCCCCTGGGGCCTGGGCCCAAAACCATTTTCTTCTTGGGGACCAGAGCAGTCCATGGCTTCATGGGCCGGAGCAGCTGGGAGGGCAGATGCTCGGAATGGCGGGATCTCTCTCACTCTGTACTTGAGACTACTGAGGCGTGGTGGGGGCCCATGAGATAGTGATTCTTCTCGGCCCACAAATGGACAGGCCTCTCGATGCAAGAACTCTGGTGAACCAGGCAAAGAACGCCACCGGCGAGCAGGTGGGACCAGGGGCTCCTGCCAGTCAGCCACAGGCAGAGTTCCGGGCCCTGGTGCATCCAAGTCAAATACCAGGGAGATGACAGACTTGCTGGGCAGGTCAAAGAACTTGATCTTGCCACCCTTGAGGTCCTGGCGAGCACTGAAAGGGTTGATTTTGGGGGTGCAGGCAGCACCACCTTGTTGGGGCCGGTAGTACGGGTCCAAGACATTCACTGTACGTGGGGGCTTACGGGAGAAGATGTCTGACTGGCTTCGAGACAACCAGATAGTGCGTCTTGGGCGTGGGGACTTGGGAGGGATCTTGTCATCCAGTAAGCTCAGTCGTTTCACCCCAGGTCCTTTCTCCAAGAGTCCTAAAAAACAATGAGTCAAATCAGGGTTACTCCCACTAGTCATAACAAACAGAAGTGGCACCTTGTGCCACAAAGCATTTCACCAATGAGAAAACAAACTCAGAAGGGAGGCTATATGCGCCAAGTCAT